GTACAAAAAAAAGTTTTCTTTGGACAATCACTAGAAAATTTCTACTTTTGCATCTATAGTAATTTATATATAGAACCGCATCATGTTTCACTATGATCATTCTTCAGTTGACTGGAGAATTGTCAATTAAACAAACTAAAATCTAAATATTAAAGCAAATATTGTTTTAAATAGAATTCTGTAAAAAGTGTACTAATAAAATATGTAATAAACTATTGTATAAATATCTAAAATAGATAAAATATATTATAAACTATGTAAATAAACTAATAAAATAATAAATATATAATAAACATATAAAATATATAATAAAATTTAAGGAAAAATACAAGAAAAATGTTAATAAAAATTCGTTTATACTACAATACAAATATAACTACTGGCTCAATGATTTTATAATAGCAAACACCTTCCTACTCAACATTCCATATATAGACTAATGAGGTTGTTGACCTATCTTAGCAAAAGCTTAAATCAAAAGTAAAATAGTTTTAGCCTTTAATTCTATATAGATTAAAAAACATAAAGTATTATAATAACATTTGTAATATTATATGAATTCTAATAAAGGAACAGAGGCATGATCTTACTTTTAAAAAAATAATAGTAATAATAATAATATATAAAAACATTAATTAAATTGATCAAATTGGTCTATTTATTAACTCTGTATATATTGAAATTTAATAAATAATAAAATCAAAAACTTAAAGTTTTTTTTTTAGCAATGCCTATATATATATTTTTTTTCTTTAACAATGCTTATATATATATATATATCATAAGGGTGTGGTGACTTAGTGAAGTTGGGAAGTTGTTGCACCCCTAAGCAGTAGGACAAGAGTTCGAATCCTACTGGCGATGAAATTTGAATTTACAAAATGTATTAGAAAGACTATATCCTATTGGGTTTTAGAATCTATAATAGAGTCGCATCAGCTTGTACTAGGAGGTAGTGAAACATTTAGTGTGACATATAAGTTATATAAAATCCGAGTGAAGCTACCGAATAAATCCAGTAGATTGACAGGATATAGAAGCCCGCTTAGCAAGTACCGAATAGAGAAATAGCAGAGATCTTTGACAGTATAATGTAAAGGATTATCATCTGGAAGCAATGAGAACCAAACGGGACTGAAGTGTTTAGCAAAGCATTCCATCAACCAGGCCACCAGAGGAGACCAGAAGAAAAGAACCCAATCATGAAGATCAGAGGCAGGCCACAGCTCTTCTAGGCCATCTGAATTGGAAGTTCAGAGTAACAGAAATATAGGTAATAGTCTGTAAAGTAGGTACTGGAGTTTGAGTGAAATTTGCAAGGGCAAGAAGTAGGTAACGGTAGCAGCTTTGGCTCGCAAGTACTTGGTCTCAGTCTAGGTTTAAGTTACTGAAAAACTAGGTAATATATGTGTGGGATATGGACCACTCTAGTAGGTTTACTACAAAGTCAAAGGACCTCCTATATAGAAGTATATATCTGCTTTAAAAACTTAGCAGGTCTTAGCGGCAGGTTCCTCTTTTGGAAAGATATCTAATGGCGTGAAGTTGATCAGAGAGTTTAAATGAGTAATTTCATAGTTAGGTTACAGGTACAGCATCTAGTGTAGATCTAAGATAGGCAGACTACTTAAATAGGTGCTCAAAAGATGCAGATATAGCTAGAATGTATTCTCATTAATGTAACAAGATCAGGTACTGTCCATATGACTATGCTGATATCAAACCAAAAGTTTAATAAACTGTACCAAACCTGTGAGTAGTCACTTTAATATTTAAAAAAAAAAAAAAATATATATATATATATATATAGGTTTTATAATTTAGCGCATATGCGTTGTAACGCACCACCTGATTGCCCAATCAGATCATAAGATCAGGTATAATGTGAAATTAAAAAAAATAGCGATATTTTGAAAAAATCACCTGTAACTTATAATTTTGCTTATGAAACCACCTTTTGTGCTCTAACAAAAAAAATTCTTGTAAAATTTTGGGTATAACTAACATTTATCTACAATCTAATTTAACCTTACATTAGTGCTAACCCTTACCCTAAATTAATGCGTTGCTGGTTTGTTTTGATTTCATATTACACCAGATCTTATAGGGTGCGTTACAATGTACATGCGCTAAATTATAAAATTCTATATATATTATTTTTTTAAAAAAAATTTTTTTGTTAATTGACCTATAGTTAAAAAATATTTTATAGTTAGCAAAAAAAGTATCTATCATAAAAATAAATATACAAGATATTAGTAGGCAAATGCTTCAGAATTAGTAGATCATAATATATCTTGATCACAATGCTTTTACAACCAATAGTAATAGCGATACCTCTAAACCAGATAATCTAGATAATTTCACTAACTCAGATAATCTTACTAACCCAGATGCCTCCACTAACTCAGATAATTCTACTAATTTAGATGACTCCACTAACTTAGATAATTCTGCTAACTTGGATGACCCTGCTAATCAAAATGACACTGCTAATCAGAATGATTCTGCTAATCAGAATGACCCTGCTAATTAAAATGATTTTGCTAACCAGAATAACTCTGCTAACTAGGATGCTCCTGCTAACCAAAATGACTCTGCTAATCAGAATACCTAATAGAAACAATCTGAATAACCCTAATAGTGATAATCTAGATGATCATGATAGTGATAATCTAGAGAATATCTCTGATAATAATTATAAAGCTATTGCTAGACCTATGAATTCCAGTATAGTGTATATCATATATATTCACAATCAAAAAACTTTTTATAAAGATGGTAATACTGTTTGTTTAATTATAACTAAATAAAACTAATCCTAGTTTTGAATTTGACAAAAAGTATGTCAACTAGCTGCCTTTAATAAATTTAGTAATATTAAAGATATGTCAAAAAGGTTGTTGATAAAAAAGATAAATCAAAAGTAATTATTGATGAAAAAGGTAAATCAAAAGAGGTTGTTGATGAAAAAGGTAAATCAAAAGAGGTTGTTGATGAAAATGATAAATCAAAGAAAGTTGGTATGTATCAGCTAGTATTATAAGTCATAAGGTTTTTATTAGCTGGCTAAGCCAACCAGTAAAAAAATTAGCTAAGCAGCTAAGGCCAAATTTCTATCTTTAGAAATTATTAAATATTTATTTAAATTTTTTTTTTATTCTTACTCGTATTTTATGTTCGATCATTTTCTTTTTAAAATATTTCAGTTTCATATATAGTCAAACCTCTCTATAATTACACCCTTGGTTTTAAGATTTTATATAGAGGTTAATTTTTTTTAAAAAATTGTAATTATAAGCAAATATAACTATTAGGAGATAATGATAAAGAGGTCTGACTATATCTTCTATTAATTAATTTTGTTTAGCATTATCACTTTGGCCTAAATTATACTATTAAAATTATATAATTTTAAGCTGCATTAGCTAGCTGATACTAATATATTGGCTAGCTTAGCTAGCTAAATTGCTTTAGCCATAGCTGCTTTAGTTGGCTTATAATACTAATATAACTAATTTTTATACTAATATATTAAATTACAGTTAAATATTATATATACTATATATTTTTTTTCACTTAGACAAAATCATGCCAGTGACCTATGATTATTCAAGTCATCATCTCATGAAAGATTTAAAACAATAAAACTCTAGCCCTAACATCTTACAGCTATTGCAATATAATCAAAGGCTATCCAAACGCCCATAGGCGACCTGCTATACTAGTATAATATAAAATAATACTCTAACCAGAAGGCTTGTCTAACCACTGCTCTACAATAAGATATCGCCAATCTGATAACATCTTCTTATAGAAAAGTGAAAGAAAAAGAAAAAAATTTTTAAAGAAACACAAAAGTATAGGGTGATACATTAAAAAAAATACAAATAAGAAATAAATAGAGTAAGGCTATACAAATAACACAAACACATGAGGTACCCCAGGATGCTCCAGGATATTCTAAAATGATGTATTAATAGTTATTTAATTGTATTACTAATTTTAGAAATAATAGCTTTATTATTTAGTTTATAGCATTATTTTATATCATTATTATATAGTGTTATTAAACGGTGTTATTAGACGGCATTATTTCATGTTGTTATTATTTTTATAACTATTTTTAGCATTAGTATAGCATTATGACAATTTAAATTATAGTGTATAGTATTATTGCAATGATTTGCAATGATTTACATTAGTAATATAATGATTTACAGCATTATTTCCTAACATTATTATATGTATTATTAAAAGATATATAAACCCTGCCTTTTCACCAAGGCAGAGGGACATCAATGTATGCTTCACAATTATTTTTTTAAATATTTATATTGCTTTTGAGTATATTTGATCCTTCTCTTTGATTATTTTTTTGTAAAAAAGCCTCTTTATTTTATATTTTCTTAGTAATAAACTGTTAATTTTCTTGTATTTTTATAGTATTTTTATAGTATTTTTATTGTATTTTCTTGTGAATTTATTGATATTTTTAATTTATACTTGAGTAAACCTTGTTATTTTTGTCTTCTTGTTTAGTTATTTTATAGTATTTTTGGTTTAGTTTAGGCTTTTCTTTAGTTTTTCTTATTTAAAACATTCCTTAACTACTCTTATATATTAAGTTAAGTAATATATTTGTTTGACTTAACTGACAATAACATATTCTATTATTATTATATTTATTATTTAGTTAAGCCAAGCAAGCATATTACAGTATGTTTTATGATAAGCTGGGTGTTTGAGTTGGTGTTTGTTTATGATCGAAATTGGAGACTTGAGACTTTGTGTAGTTTAATTTGAGAGTTTCATGCATTTTGCTTTTCAAGTTTTTTTTTGGATCTCTTTAATGACATGATGAAGAAAGTAGCAGGTGTGATTTTTTGCTACGTTGGTGTCTGTTTGAGAGTTTTTATTGATAATAATATTATTAGTAATAATTCTGAGAGGTGTAGATTGCAGTTTGTATATAAACTTTTGTAAGAAGTTTTGTTTAAAGTTAGTAATATTTATGTTTATTTGATATTTTTATATTGTTCAGTTGAGAACTTGTGTGACTATTTCTTCAATTAAATGCGTGTTGGTTGTGTATATAAGCCAGTATTGATTATCTTCATTTGTTTGTATACATCGTAGCATATAGAGTTATTGTATTTTGCTAGTTATTAAATATATATATTGAAAAGTGTTGGAAGTTCATCTATTATTAATTTCATTTTGAAGGTTTTGATTTTGATTTGGATAGGATATATAAATTTGCTTAAAGGGTTGTTGTGATAGTTTATAATGTTGAAGGTAAGTTCCCAGTTGATCTCTTTTAGATCTAAGTTCTATAGGTATATTCTATTTAGATTATACTAGTCTGTTATATTTTTTGTATTTTGTAGGTGTCTTAATAGTTTTTTCATGTTGTAAGAAAATATATAATAGCTAAGTTTAGAAGTGTAGATGTTGAGCAGTATCAGCTTTGTGTTAATTTTGGTAGCGATAGTTGTATTTGTAGAATTTGGTTTAATTGTAGTATTTGTAATTGTTATTTGTACTGTTAGGTCTTTTCTTGTAATTGCTGCTTTTATGATTGCTTTATAGATTCCAAAAGGAGTAGATAACAATTGGTTGACAAGGTATGTAGGGGTTTGAACTATGTTTGTAAAGTTGTGAACTAATTGTTTTTCATTTGTAATAATGTTTAGTATACAAGTGTATAGTACCGCAGTAATTAGCATTAGCAGTGCTATCAGCAGGGCTTTTCTTTTAGATGATCAGATTAAATTTGTAATTTGAAGGTCAAGATATGTGTTGGTTATTGTCCAGCAGGCTATAAAGTTGTATGTTGGGTTTGTGTCATAAGGTAGTATGTTTATATTAGTATTCAATGTTGTTTTTTCATAGAGAGACCTATAGATTTCTCATAATTTTTGTTGTAGATTGGGTGTAGCATCCATTAGGTTTTTTGAAATCTGATCTTTGTATATAGTAAAGGTGCGTTTTTGTTGTAGTTTTGTAGTATTAGGTAGGGCTATGTATGAGTTGTGTTTAGATCCTTGATGTTTGTATATATATTTCTTTTTGTCTACTTGTATATATATTAAATTTTGTACAGAATCTTTAAGATAGCAGCATTGTTGATTTGAGAAACTAAGTCTGCATCCTATGCACTTAGTTAGTTGGTGAAGATTGTTTGGTGATTGTTTTTAGTGTCAGAAGATGATAGTTTGATTTTTTCTTCTTGAGAATTTTCCAAAAGCCTAGAGTGTAAATTATAAACCTATGCAATGTGTTAGTTATTTAGAGGTTGTGTAGTGAAGAGGTTAAGTTGGACAAGCTGTTTATAGATATTCTCTGCTGCAGCAATATCATTTAGAAGAGTGTTGTATTATTTTGGTTGTCTACCTTTGGGTATTTTTTGTGTATTGTAATGTGATTCCTGTCAGGTTAGAAGCTGTGTATGAAAATAGTTAGTTAATTGTTCAATAAAGTAAATATAATGTATATTTAGTTTTCCTTTTATAACTGAGGCTTTTAAGTTCAAATATAGTATATTATTAATAGAGGTTCCTGTTTGATTCATTGGTATTGGTCAGATATTGCTATCATTGTATAAAGTAAGTTGAACTTTGTAGAGTTTGAGTATTATTTTAGCAGTAGTTGTTTTGTTTTCTGGTAATGGGAAGATAGGTTGATAAGTAAATATTAAAAGATTTGTAGTAGCTGTATTTTTAATACAGATGCACCAAAGAAGAAGTGATTAAGAATTTTAGAGAAGTTGTTGATATGTTATAATTGCTGTATATTTTGAGTTATTTCTAGACTATAGATTCAGTTGTAGAATAGTGTTGAACTTGGAATGATACTAGCAAATCCAGCTTTGTGTTTAGCAAAATTAGTATAGGATTTGGTAATTTTGTTTAACTGTGAGCTTAAAAGGGAGGTGTTTTGGATCTAGTAAGCAAATTGGGTAAGGATTACTGAGTTGATTATATATATTGCTTGCTTGTCTGTTATTCTTGTATGCTGTAATTTTCATAAAGCTATTGTAATTTTATCAGTGATAATAGTATGAATAGATTTGTAAAAAAAAGTTTTGGAGATCCCGCACTCTAGGAATCTAAAAGCTTGATCAGAAGAATATTAGATATAGTTTGTTAATTAAAAGTGATTTGCGCATTGTTCATTTTGGTGTTTGTGGCTAGAGTTGATTTGTTTGAATTTATTTTTATATTGACCATATTGTAGAAAGATATTGCTATATAGATTATGAGTTCTAGAGATTGTTTGGATTGGGCAATCTATGTAGTATCATCTATATATGCTAAGCAGGAGATATGTAAGTTGTATGTAGTGAATTCAGCTTTGGTATTAGTGATAAGAGTATATTTTTAATGTTGGGTAGTGATCGTGTGTATCAGAGGATTGTAATATATATGCCATAGTAATGGTGTTATAGTTTCCCTCTGATCTATCCCATTGTGTACTAGTAAGATTATACAAAAGTTTAATGATTTTAAAATCTTGTAATCAGATTTTAATGATTTTGGATTTGTTAAAATTATTTCATTAATACAAACATTTTAGTAGTAAAATTATTAAAAATGACTTAGTAAATCAACAATTATTATTAATTTTATAAGTTGACTATTATATTTAATATAATCAATAAATTAAACTTTATAAATTGCAAATAATAGGGTTTGAGTCCTATAGCTTAACAGTTAAGCTTCTAAACTCCTACAAACTAGATCAATAATTTGAGTTAAGCTAGAAGCAAATTTTAATAAAATTTGTTTCTATAACTTATAGAGCTATAAAATCGAATGTGAAGCTCTATAAAAATTTAGTATAGTATAAAATCAGAATAATGAATTTCTGAAAGAAGATCAGATCATAAAGCATAAACACTACATATAACAGTAGTATTATAGAAAATTACATTACATAAAAATTATACAAATTAGTCTTCTGATTAAAGTGATCTGAAAACTATCTCAGTAGTACTAATAGATTTTTACTAATTAATAATTTTTTTAAAGTTATA